CCTCTGACCCACGGTTTAAACTTTTCAATATACTCACCTTTAAAAAATCTAGAAAGGCAGGCTTAGTGGCACATGTTTTCTTGAGAATCCCCACTGCTGTACTGAAATTATTTACATATTCACTATAAGCATCTAGCACCATCGATTTAGAAAACTGAAACGGAGAAAAAGACAAACCTTAGTTGTTAAAAGAAATCCACCTGAAGACACACTTACATGGATTTTGTCAGCTAAGGATGTGGTCTTGTAAGAAGCAAAGTGCTCACAGGAAGGGCTAGGTATCATTAACCTATGAAGACCTTATTACTGGGGTAAAAAAACTCTGATGCAACATACAGACAGGTCTTAAAGTGTGTTAAGTCCAACAATTTGAAGACATAACTGTTGTGAATTTCATATGGAAGAAATCTGTTGGTCCATTTGTGTCACAGACTTACCCTAATGGATGCATGTGCTATGACAATAGCCAATGGCAATGATAACCATGAAACCATAATAGGACACCCAAACTGGTTGGAAGAGGGGTGGGAAGAGAGGTAAAGGAAGGGTGAGGAAGAGGGAGAGTCAGACAGAGAGAGAGAGAAATAATCTTTTAAAGTTTTTCTCCCCATGTATCCATTAACATGCATTTACTTACTGAAGCAACAAAGACATCTCCAATCATTTCAACAGAATCCCAGTCAGACACCCGACTGGCCAGTGCTATCTGAAACATTGAATGGCACTGAAGAATTTCTTTGATTCGATAAAAGACCATTTTGAGTTTCCTTTCACTCAGTAATTTTGGTTCCATTTCTGATAGGGGCTTCTCATATTGCTGCAGAGTGAAAGCAGATTTATACAAACATACTTTTAACACGAAGTAAAAGCTAGTAAGATCTTACTAACACTTAAAAGAAAACATACTGGATCTGATGCCTCTCCAAGGGTACTTGCAATATAGCTAATGACTTTCCAAACTATAAAAGGCCAAGAGATATTCAGGTACCTCTAGAATTCTTTTGAGAGCATCCACATAATTCTTCTCACTGTCAACCACAGAGCCCAAAATGTATCTTCTCACAACCTATTTAAAGATATAAAAAAAATACATCTAAAACTTTAAGTAGCTAACTACCTCCCTCATTTCCAAGACTTACTTAATGATTTATTATAACTGCTAGAGATCCTATAGACATTTGGTATTTGATACCTTTTCTTTTTGTTAACCCAGACAAATCACTTAACTTAGATAAAAATGTTAGCCCTTGTTCCCTTTATATTTACAAGGAAAATAGAATTGAGATTCTTAGACGCAATGAATGAATCACATTAAGGGTTAACCATAAAGTTATTAGGGTAATAACTCCTGTATTGAGATAAATTTCAACAAGAATACCCGAGTGAAACTATAATAAAATACATTCTGTAACCTTACATAAATTCAGGAAATGTACTGTCAATCTTAAAGTAATTACTCTTTAATAGTGTGTGCCTTATATAACCATTAAATATATCTTTTATTTATTGATTGTCACATGTTATAAGTTTATATTTGGGTCCTATTTCAAATGTATGTATGGCAAACTTCTATTCTAAGCACAGGTGAAAACAGAAACCTTCATTTCTTGATATACGGACAGAAGTTTTGAGTCAGATGCGATTTCACCCATTATATTTGTAAGTGTGAACCTATTCCGCCTCTCAGGTCATTGAAGAAAATAATCAAAACAGTGGATAGATCTTCCTCTAGTTCACTGCTTTTTTGGAACTTTATCTTTATGATAACGAGTATCAGGGACTCTGGCATGGTTAAACAGGACCACGCTTAGGCACCTAAATCCTTAGGTGCCTTACAGGCGGAATAAGATTGTGCCCTAGGGCTAGAAACAGAATTTACACATTAACCAGTGTAAATGATCCAAAACTAGTTCAAAGCTGTAACGCAACAAGTTCAGAACAGAAGCATACATAAGCCACTTTTAAAATGGCCAAAATCAGTTAAAGATAAACCTGGACAGATGCAGTATCAGACTGAACTGATCTAGGTTTAAATTGGTATTTCTACTTCTGTCTCAGATCCCCTCCAGATTCTAGTTAACTCATAGTCCCCCAGCATCCCATGATGCTTTGCACCTCCCCTGCAAGCCCCTCCTCACAGGGTGGGCAGGTGAGCCTTGGCCCAAAGACTGCTTCTACTGCAGGCATGTGGCTGCATTTCCAAAATCAAAAGTGAACGTCTGTTCACTTGTTTATTGGTTCAATCTATGCAGCTCAGACTAACCTGCAAAGATTGAATCAATTCAGCCTTGGGATTTTTCACTCAATGTACTTAGCTTAGGTGTCCTCTTCTCAGCATCAGCCTCCAAGTGTCACATTTTACTCTTTAAAATTTTAGGAACATACTAAGACTAATTTAAATGGATAAAAGCTCCTGATGGGGTCTTGAAAGTACAAAAGTTTACCAGTGAAAAAGTATTGAAATAGGTCAATGTTCTGTTCCAGGTATCTTGAAAGTATTAGTTTACAAGAAGGAAAAAAAATCTTATTCATTCATGTACAATTTGATGGAACTATGAGTTTTATGAGATATTACTTTCATTTAACCTTCTTCCAGAGCATATTGTGCTTTCTATGTTTTGTAGCTTTTACTACGTATAATAAAAGACATAATACTGCTTGCATATTGTAGCAGGACACTAAGGTGCCTGCTACTAGGAAAGCCAGGAAGGCTTGTCAGGTGCCGGTCGCTAAGGCAACAAAAGGGGGCTAATGGGTTATACCTGCCTAGCGGGCTGAAAGAAGGGGCAGGGCCTGGCCTATATAAACCACAGGCAGGAGGCCAGGCAGGGGGTTCCCTACCAGCAGCCAAGGCAGAAGGAGCTCCCTGCCAGAAAGAAAAGAGAAGCGGAGCTGAGATGCCAGAGCAGAGTTGGTCACCACTGGGTGACCGAGAACCCTGGTAAGCCTGAGCACAATTTAACTGGATGCTTATGTTTGCTTTGTAGCCCAGGGGCCTGTGTTTGTTGCAGGTTGTTTATCACCGGTGGGTTGGGAGAGGCTATAAGGGGATGGAGGAGGACTCATGGTAGAGTGAGGACCCCAGCCCCAGTGAGGGCACAGAGTTCAGGGGTACAAACCCCAGCTCCAGAGAAGAGCCTGTGAGAGGGGGCAGCCTTGCAGAAGGAAGAGCCCCAGTGAGAGGGGCAGCAATATGGAGAAGGCCCTAGTAAGAAGGATGGTGTACAGAGAAGGCCCCTAAGGCTTAGAGATACAGAACACCTGGAGCAGGAAAACTGTGGCCAAGTGGAAGAGAGGTAGCCTCTCTATAAAAAACACAGATATCATCAAAGTTGTGGCGGGCGAGAATAGGAGGGTGCAAGTCCAAAGCTTGGCACAGTAGAGGAGGCGACAGGGGCTAGCACGGTGACCCTGCCGTCCCTCCTGTTACACATCATTCTTTGTGTTATGCACAGGTCTACTTTATTTGTGTAATGCAGAAATCCATTCTACTAACATTTTTGCTACAATAGCAAGATGGGAGAACTAGGTCTTTTATCCCTTAAAATACTGTAACAGAATACTGTGATTAGTGAACTAAAACTAATTGAAACTAAGTAATTCCATCATCCTGCATTTCCAGACTCACAGAAGGATGTTGTACATAAAATAGACATAGTCAAGCAGGAACGAGTTTTAAACAGTATCTATTGTGCCACCTAGCGGCTGACAATTGCATATTCACAAAGAGAAGTGTGGTATAATAGCAGCATTGGAGTGATGTTGTAGTTGTGATGGTCTAGGAACTACACGAGGCAAGGATTTTTTTTTTAGGTGTTACCTTTTATTGGACTAACTGTATGGTTGGGATAAAGCTTGAGAAACTTTCAATGCAAGGCATGCTACACATGGGGTCTGAGGAGGGAAGCAAGCACAATTCAGCTCTACCCACTAAGAAGTGTGGGGAGAGCTGAAAAATTGGAAGAAATTCTCAGCTGTAGCACACAGACAATTAGGAGAAGAAAAGAAACTTGATTACTGGGAGATCAAAACCTATCAAAAGGGAGGAGGGTGATTATCACCTGTAGTATGTAGGAAGAAGTTCAGGAATTGGGTATATTACAGTGTACTCTAAAATCTATACAGGTGTTCAGGCCTTGGTTACTAGTATCCAGCCAATGTGAAGCATACAGTTGGTCCAATAAAAGAAATAATTCAAAATAATCCTTGCCCCTTGCACATGGTATAACTAGCACATGCTTAGAATATTACCAAGAGCCTATATATTGCTTCATTTTTTATTCACAAAGAAATGCCATAACACACACATGCATGATACACAATGAATATAATAACCTAAGCAAAAGAATACAATGGCCAAAAGAATGATACAAGCCTTACTTCCCCTCACTAATGACACTTCCAGTGTTTTATTCCAGACTATTCCTTTTTTTAAGTTATGGGACCATTCATTTACATCTGGACCATATAAATTTCTTCTTGATATCCACATAATCAAGACTTTGAAGGCATTAATATTATCCTTATTTCCCTTGTCACAAGGGGAGGGGGGGAAAGGTTCCTTTGAATTGGAGGCCACACTTCCCCTTATATTTATCCACCAGCAGATAGTCCCCAGAAAATTTTAATACTCCTTTTTCCAGAGAAAGGGCTCCCACTATACAAGGATTAGTTTCTTGTTAGTTTCTTATCTCCTCTGGCAGCGTGCAACTGCCAGCTTCCACCTGCCTGCTTCTATATTCCTCAGGTCACTCATCAAATTTCCTCTGCCAAATCAAGCTGAATTGAGCATGAATTTCCTCAGCCAGCTCAGTGTGGGCTATGCACTTGCTTATAGAGATGTGAATATAGAAATCATCTTTGCCACTTTCCTTCTATGGAGTAAAAACCTTTCTGTACAAGCACTGAAAAGGTGAGATCATGTAATACTGACATCCAAATACACCAAAATGAACTTAAATTCTACTTTTTAGTATACACAGATATCTTTCTCTTGGTATTACATAGACACCAATTATAATTTACAACAAATAAAGACCATTCTGTTGGATTTGGATATCTAAAAAGACAGAAACAGTACTGAGAATCTCCATCCTATTTTTATAAAGCAGGAAGAATTTGGGTTGATGATGGAGGCCTACTGGGTTTCTTAAAGTGAAACTGTATGATACTGGACAGATATTTATAATGTGTATTGGTGTCAAAGGGTCCTGATTAAGATACAGAGCCCTATTATATTAAACACTCTGTTACAAGTAGAAAACACAGCCTTAGACCACCAGCTGGTGACTTTCTTGACTTTCTAGGAATTAAGCTTAACTTTGAACAAGTTATTCCAGTTAGCTCTGACTTTAAGTGCTGGGTGTTCATTCTTTCATGGTGCTGACCAGCTCAGGAATGGACTACAACAGGAATTAAGAGTGCTTAGCATCTCCAAAAGTAGCTCATTTTCTTGCAACAAAGAGGCTTCCAAAACTATTCATTTCAGAGAGTGTATTTTCTTAGATAGTAAAGCATACTTCTAACCAGTCTGTTCATTTACAAGGCTTTGTTTAACTGGTCTTCATAGCACACAACAGCCAGAGCATTTCAGCCAGAAATAGCAATATCTCTCTTTTACAGTGCTGCACATAATTACTATATTTTTCCAAAACAGGAGAAGTGTCAATGGTGCAGCCAATACTCTAAACTTAAAATGGAGAAACAGGAGCACTGGTAATATCTCTTCATCCAACAGCAATGTTTTGCATACCCCCAATTCCCTGCCCTCCCCCCACCCTCTGCCCCAGCCCTACTCTTAGGACACACACATGTGTATTTCATTCAAAGCTATTCATTTTAATTTAACTTTAATTTTTAATATTTCCTATATTTTATCACATATCCTAATTCATCTTAAATTTCAACCCAAATCCAAAAGGAATAAACTGAATACTATTAGTACTGAAGTGACGGGGGAAAGAAACAGACACAAGTCCAGATTCCAGAACCCACGTACCTGTTGCTGTGATAATCCTTCAGGCATAGGAGTCATAATTGCTTCTGTATGCATACAGTCTACATCAATGAATAAATGTAATTCATCTTCTTCCAGACAGGGTGATCTATGATCTATAAATAATTAAAGTGTCAGTTTATATATAAGTATATAAATATATATAATTTGAACTCTCATGAACTCATGATTCTATGTAAAAGGAAGGTGCCAGTAATATACAAATGCAGCTCCATCAGTGACAATACCAGGGTTGCTGGTGGTGTTACCCTGACAGACACCCTCCACATGTGCAGGTATAAGCCCAATGGAATCTTATGTGCTATTCATAAATCAGATCCCATTGTGCCTTAATGTTAGTGCAGGGGAGGCCCGATCTTGCGGTCCCCCTGCACCAGCAAGAAGCAAGCTCTCGAAGCTTGGAGCCCCCTCATGCCATGCACCCCCATGACTGGGAGAGTGGGATGATCACAGCCACACCCTGTGGCTGCCAAGACTCAGCTAGGTCCAGACACTGGGAAGCATGCTGTGGCAATCCAGCATCTGCAGCTGTGGGATGCTGAGACCCAGCAGCTGCGGGGTGCTACCAGGATCTACAGAGCAGGCTTAAGTCCCCAGCAGTTGCAAGACTTGCAGTCCCAAATGGGCACAGTGCACCCCTGCTACACATGCCAATTAAAGCTCAATAGCAACCAGCTATAAAGTTAGTACACATTTTAGAGGTCTACCTTTATAGCTTGTTGGAGTTTTTTTATGGCTTGATAGTGACTTTGCATGTGTAGCTTGTCTTAAGATAATTGTACAATTAACTAGCTAATTGTGTGATACCTGTAACATGTAGAGGGGGCCATGGAGGCATGTTAATGGTATAGTAAGTGTGAGAGTATTCTGGAAAACAAAAAGTACAAATAGTAGGTCTACTTCTCAGCCCAACATACAGCATATAACATCTGGAAACAGAGCAGGTCTGGCTCAAGAGGATCCAGTTATGCAACAAACTTCCAGGAAATTTAGTGAATCTACCATCTGAACCTTTTAAAAATGCTTTAAAATCTCCCTCTTCAGAAAAATACTTTCTACCACAGTTCCAGGAAATAAATAAACCTAAGTAAATCAACTAACCAAAACAGAATTCTAGCAATTTTTTCCCCGCTCTTAAAATGGAAGAAGGCTGAAACTCCCTATATGCTTTGCTATTACTACTGATTTTATGTAAGAAGCACTTAGAAAATACAGTGATAGGTGGCAGTATACAGACAGGTATTAGTAAAGCAATGGTACAGAAAGCAAAGTATAAGCAAGGAGGTCTTAGAAAAAGCAAATTCTTAAAGTATTTTAGATAATGAGATCTATGTAAACACGTAAGGAATCTGAAAAACCAGTCAATTCTTTACCAGTTCCCTGCTGACTAGGTAGCAGACTGAGGCCTCAAACAGTCCACACATGGGAATGCCCTAGTACAGAGCTAACATAGCCCTAAGAGATCCAAGTACAATGTATTCAAGATATCCTGACAAAGGCCAAATAGCAAATCTTTCTTTCCAATAAATATGGATGCAGAGCAAAGTTTTACTTTTATAAGCAAGGAAGCTTGTGCATGTCCTCTGCCATTGCGATAGTACTGAAATGCCAATGTTCAGGAACCATTTAGTGTCCACACAAGGACACTACCGTGTCTACATCAGTCTTTCCTTCCTTGCAACTGTAACAATTCTTTTCTGGCACCTTGAGTGATGCGACAGACTAGCTCCCAGAACTTACTCTGGATAAGGATACACTTGAATTCATGAAGATATTCCCGTTCCAAAATATATCTTGATGGTCTGCTGCCGAGTACAGCTTTGTCTTTGTCTCTGTTAGTTTCCCTCAAAGATCCTAAGTTTTCCTCTAAGATGTAATGGTCAGTAGCATAACAATGGGTGGGCGAGAGGGGCATGAGCCCTTGGCACTGCCTAAAGGTAGTTGCTCCACTCTCATATCACCCACATCCAAACCCTGCACCTTTCCTCCACAGACTGCATCTCCAGCTCAGTGTTTTCTTTACCATTGAAAATCAGTGTTCAAATGACTGCTCAACACACCCTCAAATGGCACAAGAGATTCCCCTCTTCCCCCTTGCAGAATCATAGAAAATGCGGGTTGGAAGGGATCTCCGGTCATCTAGTCCAACCACCTACTCAAAGCAGGACCAGCTCCAAGTAGATCACCCCAGCCAGGGCTTTGACTAGCCAGGTCTTAGAAACCTCCAAGGGTAGAGATCTCTCTGTGTAACCTGTTCCAGTGTTTTATTACCCTCCTAGTGAGAGAGTTTTTTCCTAATATCTAACCTAAACCTCCCTTGTTGAAGCAGAGTCCTTGTTATCTACTATTACTGAGAACAATCTGCTCCATCCTCTTTGGAACCACGTATCAGATAACTGAAGACTACTATTAAATCTCCTCTCAGTCTTCTCTTCTCCAGACTAAATAAACCCAGGTTCCCTCAGCCTCTTCTCGTAAGTCATGTGCCCCCACCCCCTAACCATTTCTGATGCCCTCTGCTGGACTCTCCAATTTGTCTACATCCTTTCTGTAGTGGGGGGCCCATAACTGAACACAGTACTCTAGATGTGGCCTCACCAGTGCTGAAGAGAAGGGAAAAAAAATCACTTCCCTTGATCTGATGAAAACACTCCTACCAATGCAGTGTGGTATGCTGTTAGCCTTCTTCACAACAAGGGCTGTTTGCTCATATTCAGCTTAGTGTCCACTGTAACCTCCAGGTCCTTTTCTGCAGAACTGCTGCTTAGCCAGTCAGTCCCCAGCCTGTACTGGTATATAGGGTTGTTCCATCCAAAGTGCAAGACTTTGCATTTCTCTTTATTGAACCTCATGAGATTTCTTTTGGTCTAATTCTCCAATTTGTCAAGTTCACTTTGAATCCCAGCCCTACCCTCCAGCATGTCTACTACTCCCCTCAGCTTGGTGTCATCTACAAACTTGCTGAGGGTACACTCCATCTTCCAGGTTACTGGTGAAAACACTGAATAAAACCAGCCCCATGATTGACCCATGGGGCACTCCACTTGATCCTGGCTGACAACTAGACATCAAGCCATTGACTACTACCCTCTGAGCCTGATGATCCAGCTAGTTTTCCATCTGTGTTAAAGTTCATTCATCCAACCTGTACTTCCTTAGCTTGCTTGGGAGAATGTTGTGGTAGACTGTATCAAAAGCCTTACTAAAGTAAAGAATCAATCTGCCGTCCCAGTACTGGCTTGTTACATCTTGGATGGTAGTGGTACTGCAAGACTTCAGTGTTTCTCTCTCACCATCCAATACAATGAAAGTCAGCTTTCATCAAATTATCAAACAATGAGGTGAGACAGTTTACTTCTGTGTTTAATACAAAAAACATCAAGGGCTATTGCTGATTATTTAAGAGTCCTCAGTGCCTGCAGTTGCACAGAGAATTTAAGGCATAACAGCTAGTTTAAGGTGTAGATTTTTTCAGTTTCTTCAGCAGCTGACTGACATTCTGGAGTTTCTAGAAGGATAGAAGTGGGAAAACAGTCCTTTACCATAATTCCCATGTTACCATTGGCCCTACAGCATATGAACATTGAGGTGTCACTGCTCCATGTTTTAAAAAAAAAAAAAAAAAAAAAAAAAAAAATTGTCATGGCTATGGAAGTTTTATATTCCAAAAGCCTATCTCAGTATTCCAGGATTTCCTAGGTTCTCATGGTTACATCCAAAATCTTAAAACAATCATAGATCTGCTAGACCCCAAACTGTCAAGTATGCTTTCAACACAAATTTGATTTCATATACCCACAACCCTATTGGTAATAAGCAACAGGCTAAGACACCTGATACAACCTGGTGTTTTGCAGAGTGTCTTACATGATTTCTTGAGCTTGTTTTACTAATATGACATGTAGTCTCTATGTAAAGGTAATATCAAGCTCTATTTTGGCTTATTGCTCTTGTGCCTTGTGGTATCCAATATAAAATGTATTTCTTATATGTTACAATAGGGTCAGAACTGCACAATATAATAATTACTTTCACATATTAAACAATGAGTTTCTTGGCACTGAGATGAAAAACAATAAGTGGCTTAGAATTAACTTTTGACTTGAGTTGTTTATTGTATCCCTTAAAATTACATTTTAAAAGAAGTTTGAAATCTAGTTAGTCAAACTATTGGTGGGAGGGAAGACAGAATATTGGATTACTGAATTTCCATGTCTGAAAGGGTGAACATGTCCTCCTGGTCTTTACAAAATGTTCCTGGTTTTTTTGTTTTTGTTTTTTTGTTTTTTGTTTTTTTTGTCTGGAAAATGCACACTTCTGCAGAGCAGGAAGTTACTGGCATAACATGAGCTCCCCAGCTTGGAATCCAATAGGTGACTTACGTGAATAGCCAAAGAGGTAGCTGTACTTAAGTATGTTTTGAGAACACAGATTTGTCTTTAGTGTTTCAACGTACAGGAGTCCCTTAGGCTGAGTAAAGAAGCTGACAGGAGAAACTGCAGAAAGCTCTGACAACGAGGTCAGAGGGAGAAATTGCTTTTGAACCTGCGGAAGCTGGCTAAGGACTGCATCCTTGGATTTAAGGTCTACAGGTTACTCTTCCGGTATTTTGTTTGTTTATTCTGATTTCTTATGCTTGCTCTTGTTTTTTGTTTTTTTTATAATATATCCTTTTTAAAAGACTGTTTTACAAACAATTTGTTGTCTGCAATACTTATGATGCAAGAGTATTTGACCATACAGGCTTACCCATTCTATGGAATAGGCAAGGTGGGGAAGCACCCTGGAACCGTCTCTCAAAGGTGCATCCCAGCTACATCCAGAGCTAGAGCATATCATACAGTCACCTAACAATCAACTTTTAAAGAGTAACTTTAATAAAACCCATTCAGTACACACCTTGAGAAATAAAGGATTTGGTCCTAATGAATGAACGACCCTTCTTCACAGCTGCTTTAGTCTTTTCAAGTCCATCTTTGGTACCTTCTCTAGCAGCCCTCATGAGTTTTTGCATCTGCAAAAGAGCAAAAAATACATTCTACACATTCAGTGAATAATAAAAGTAAAACAGAACATACTGTAGCAGAATGCTGCTTTAAAAACATTAATCTTTAAAGAACATTGTCAAGTAATTCAGGGCTGAATATGGCCATCGTCTTAGAGAACACAGTAATCTAGTATCTAGTAACAGAGGTTGGACCTTAAATATGAGCTTTTTTCCTCCGCCTTTTTTTGGGGGTGGGGGGAATAAAATCCTAGTAAGAATGTCAGTTTTCTGGATCTATTTTGGAAGCAAATCTGAGACGGCAGAAATTCTACAAAAACTTAAACCTTTTGAGTCAGCGTAAAATCTCAGGACTTAAGCTTAATATAATACTTAGCTATCCAGGATGGTAAGTGCTGGGAACAGGTCACACACGGTTAGTGCTGGGAACCTGATATCTGGCTCTTGTTCATCTTCAAATGGAAATTGCTAATTTGATACGATACATAATCTGATCTGAAGAGTGCCTTCTTGATACAGTTCTAATGAATTACATTCTCCAATAAACACTCTTAAAAATAAGAAAAGTTTAATAAGGCCTATATTTTTTTTAAAAAACTGTTATGCTATATTTTACGCATCATATAAAAAGTGCACCATTTGTGTAAGCCCAAGATGCATACTCGTCAGTCCAGGGGTTTTCAACCTTTTTTAGTCTAAGCACCCCTGGTGGCCAGGCGCTGAGTGGGAGAGGCATGACCAAACACCAGGAGGTGGGGGGCAGCATATGGCCAGATGCCAAGCCAGGGAAGCGGGCAGTGCATGGCCAGACATGGAGCAGGGAGGTGGGGACAGCATGTGGGTGGGCAGGGATGGAGTGCCACCACCTGCCAGGAGCAGGGCTAGTGGGGGGGTGGGGTGGGAAAGCTCACCGGACTGGTGTGTGGTAGCATCAGCCACCGCGTGCAGGCTTTCCCACACCGCAGAGAGGCGCCGCTACCCTCACCTCGCCCCAGCACTGCTCCTGGGATGCAGCAGCGCTCTGTCCCTGCTCACCCATGCGTATCCCCTAGGATCGGTCCAAGTTCCCCCAGGGGTACACATACCCCCTGCTGACAACCCCTGCGCTAGTCATATTCCATTAAAAAGAAAAAAGAAAGCCGACTCCGTGCCCTCCCTTTACTAAATGCAGCCACAGCAAAAAATTAGTGCTGCTGTCAGAACTGTGCTGACAACATAAATTAAACTAGGGCACAAACAAAAAGGTATCTTGCTGAGATAAGGCAATTTCAGTATTTAAGCTCAAGCTGTTATAAAAAAAACAAACAAACAAACAAAAAAAAACAACCTTTCTGGCTCTATTCAAGACACTTGATCCTGAAATCTGATCAGTGCAGGCAGACCCTTATGCCCAGGTTGATCTCATGGATGTCAAATGGGGCTTCACCAGGGTCTGCAGTAATGAGTCAGAATGGAAGATGCCTCAGTCATTAAGGAAAGATAATGTCTTATTTGATACTCTGAAAAGTGTTCCAGAGAACAGGCACTATAAAAGTCCTTGACAATGTTCTTTTTAAGACAAACTGTACAATAATCCAGCACACACAGAAATAATTAGATAGAAAGTTATTGTCTATTTTTTCTATTCAACCTTCTGTTTAAAAAGAAAGATAACATTGTCCGTGCTTGAAAAACAATAATTTAATATGTAGCTTGTTACAAAAATTAACTACACTACCTTCAGCTCATGTTTTTGCTTTAGTTGCTGAATCTCTACTGCTCCCACAGTGTTTGCCATCAAATCTTTCATCTTTTTCTCATAGTGCTCCTTTAAACGGGTTAGGTCATGAGAAAGCTATAGTGTATAAAAAGATACAATCTTTTCAAAAAGCCTGTAGTGCAAACTTAACACTGAAGTACTCGAACAGTATTATGCATGCTGGTCAGTCTCCCTGTCATCATCTAGACCGCAGAGAGGATGTCAACCTATGGGCCACTAGCTGGATCCAGCCTGTAAAAGTATGATCTGGCTTGTGTTTTAAGGACAACTGGCTGATTCCCTGCTTCTGGCTAATCCAGCCCGCATTTTGCCAACAACCACCTGATCCCAGCTGCCACTCCAGCCATCTGAGCTCTGCACAGGAAGGCTATTCTTACATACCCCCTCAACCCCACTATAGCCTGGGCTCACTATCACTGTCAAATTAGCCGCTCCAAATCCTTGCTCACCACAAGGATTTGAGAGAAGTGGAGGGGGAGAAAAGGAACACAGGTGGCTGGAGTGGCAGCCAGGGACCGACTACCCATGGCAATGCCTAAGTTGCAAGAGGCAACCCTCCCTTAGTAAAAAGTTGCCAAGCCCAAAATTAGGAGACCACCCACATGGTGACTTGACTTTCTAGCTGGGTGTCTCTGCATCACTGCATTTACTGTAGTGAGCTGCATGGGCACTACGCAGTCCATCAGCAAGTGCTTTACTTAGGAAGGGGGCTTCCTTCAGTATGAAGTAGGAGTTGTTTCAAGCTCATCAAAATTACTGTGCATCCTTTTTTAAAATGTATTTATAAGCAAAGCAATAGTAAGGATGGTCTGCTAGGGAAGGAGTACTTCTAATGACTGATTCCTGACATATATATGGTTCCCACCTCTACCACAGATTCACTGTATGACCTTGGGAAAGCTTCAGAATCATTTGGTGCAAAAATATCCCCATTTGTGATGGTGACAATGCAACCTGGGGTGCTATGAGGCTTATGAATCAATATTTGTGAAGCACTTTGAGAACCTCATATGAAAGGACATATGAAAGAAATCATTCAATGCACCACACAGTGAAAAATCCAGTGGAAAGCATCACAGACCAACATCTCTAGTATTGCTAGAACAGAATCAATGTAATAAAAAAAAAAAAAAATACCCACCAAGTTGTAAAAAGAGCCAATTTAGCTCTCAGCTATACCATTATAGTCCAAGATGTGATTGGGACCATTAGAATTACTCTAGCCCTACACCAGCATAACTCATGAACTACAGGACTGTCAACAGACATGGAAAAAAAAAAAAAAAAAAAAAAAACCCATGCTTTACTGAAGAGGCAACGCATTAGTTTGACCTGGCTCTGCAGCGTCTATATAGATCACACACTTCAGTGGGGCTTTTTTGCATTCAACATCAAAAAAGCCTTGCTGAAGCATCAGATCTATACAGAGGTTGGGCAAGCTGGGTCCAACTACTGTGATGCCTCTTCCAGGTATGTGCTGGACTTAGCATAGGGGCACATGGAGCTTAAAGTAAAGCTCCATTTTTTAATTTATTTTTTTTACGTTTGTAAGCAGCCTAGGTGCTTTATTTTGCAAGTGCTCCAACATCTGTCCCCATCCCCAGGGAAAAAAAAACATTAAAAAAACACAAGGTTGACAGTGTGCCGTAATTGATTCTCACCCAACGTCTAACACCAAAGTTGTAGTTCAGACATCCCAATGGGCGCAGTCTTAAAAATGGATAATTAAGGACCCTTCTCCCCTGCAGGCATATAAGGACCACAGAAGGGAAAGTATTCTGACAGTATTACAATACACATCAAAGCAAAGTTACTTTCTTCCCCACCCCAGGCAATAGCAAGGTAACAGGAGTGATGAGGAATCAAGTGGGGCAGAGATTTATAAATAGATGAATGCGAGTGAAATGGCTAGTAAATGAAATGTGAGTGAGGCATGCAGCCATATTAAAGACCTAAGCACTTAAAGAGTATAGCTACACTGTTATGATAGTGTAAGAGTGATATTGTAGCCATGATGGGCATTTTTACACATGCTCCAGGGCTGGGAAGGGGGCCTCTTTAATTAGAGCAGATCCAAGAGCCGCTCTAATTAAAGAGCCCAGTGTCTCACGTATCAGCATCCCTGCCCTTAAAAATGGTGGCACTGAATGAGCTTTAGTTAAAGCACCCCTGTCACTATTCTGAAGCCCAGGGACACTGATGTAGAGGCTGCTGGAGCGTGCTAATTGGCACGCTCCAGCAAACTCAGTTAATTGAATCTGCTCCAATACGCTATAATTACAGCATGTCATAGTTTCATAGTTTTAGGGTCGGAAGGGACCTAATAGATCTTCTAGCCCGCCCCCCCGCCAGGGCGGGAGAACAACCCAAAAAAACCAAACAAACAAACCCTAAAAACAAAAACGGGACTCAAATGAGTCCAGCCAGGTAAGTATCCAGCCTCTTCTTAAAGATCCCCAGGGTAGGGGCCAGCACCACCTCCCTTGGAAGTTGGTTCCAGCTCCTAGCCGCCCTAACTGTGAAGTAGTTTTTTCGGATGTCCAATCTGTACCTCCTCTCCATCAACTTGTGCCCATTACTCCTTGTTATGCCAGCGGGGGCTAGGGGAAACAGCGTCTCCCCCAAACCCTTCTGGTTCCCCCTAGTGAGTTTATAGACGGTCACCAGGTCCCCCCTCAGCCTTCTCTTGTGGAGGCTGAATAGGTTCAAGTCCCGCAGTCTCTCACTGTAGGGTCTGCCCTGTTGTCCCCGGATCATGCGGGTGGCCCTCCTCTGGACCCTCTCCATGTTGTCCACATCCCTCCTGAAATGGGGCGCACAGAACTGGACACAATACTCCAGCTGCGGCCTGACCAGCGTCGCATAGAGGGGGAGGATCACCTCCCTGGCTCTACTCGAGATGCACCTGTGGATGCACGACAAGGTCCGGTTAGCCCTGCCAACCATGACCTCGCATTGTCGGCCCATGTTCATCTTGGAGTCAATAATGACACCAAGATCCCTTTCCGCCTCCGTGCTCTCAAGTAGGGAGCTCCCCATCGTATAAGTGTGCTGCTGGTTCCTACTACCCAAGTGCAGCACCCTGCACTTGTCCGTATTGAAACACATCCTGTTCCTGTTTGCCCACCCCTGTAACCTATCCAGATCCTTCTGCAATCTCTCTCTCCCTGCTAGCGTGCTCACCTCCCCCCAAATTTTGGTGTCATCAGCGAATTTAAACAGGTTGCTTTCCACCCCAACATCAAGATCGCTGATGAAGAAATTGAACAGCGCAGGCCCCAGGACCGAGCCCTGGGGGACTCCACTACCCACCTCCCCCCAAGTCGAGTATGATCCATCCACCACTACCCTCTGAGTGCGACCCTTCAGCCAATCTGCAATCCATCTGACGGTGTAGGCATCTATGCCACAGTTGCCTAGTTTATTAATTAGGATGGGGTGAGAGACGGTGTCAAAGGCCTTGCTGAAGTCCAGAAAGACTACATCCACCGTGACACCTGCGTCCATGGCCTTTGTGACCTGATCATAAAAGGCGATCAGGTTGGTCTGACATGATCTCCCCCTAATAAATCCATGCTGATTGCCCCTGAGCATCATTTCTGATGCCGGCCCATCACAAATGTCAGAAAAGCCTCCCCACACATCTGTTAAGTACACAGTCAAAAAGCCCAAGCTAAATTGATTCAGTCTTTGCAGGTTAATCTAAGCTATATAGACTGAAGCAATAAACAAGTGAACAGCCATTCACTTTTGATTCCAGAAATGCAGCCACATGCCAGAAGCCCGGGGCACTAGAGAATGCCTCCCTGCTCAGCTGGAGCAGGCAGATTGGGCCAAGGCTAACCTGCCCACCCTGTGAGGGGGAGTTTGCATGGGAGCTACAAAGCATTGTGGGATGCCGGGGGACTGAGTTAGCTTGAATCTGGAGGGATTCTGGGACAAAAATTCAATAAACCAAGTTAAGCTAAATCAGTTGCGTCTGATATTACATCCATCTAGGTTTATCTTAAGCTGGTTTTGACCATCTTGAAAGCAGTTTATGTGCACTGAATTTCTGTTGTGTTACATATTTAAACTGGTTTCTGATCCCTTACACCAGTTTATGTGTAATTTCTATCCCTAGCCCTACAGGTACCTGATGGTCCAGAAGTTATATTTTAGGTTGTGGATTTTCCATGGAAAGCAGGTATAGTTTTCCAATTTTCCATTGAATTTCTGGACCATCAGGTGCCTACAATATCCCTCATATAGTACTGTAATATGCAAGGCATGAAAGATATTAAAATCGACTGCTGTCTATGGAAAATTCACCATGTAAAAATAAAAGAAGCCAGACTACGCAGTGGCAACACAGCTGGTGCAATAAAAGTTATCACCCAAAGAAATCCTTGTTTCTCTATATTGTTAAGCAATTAAAAAGCCCATTTTTTCCTGTCCTCCTCAGCCTCTCTCTTTTCTATTTCTCTTTATTGTTTCTTTGCCACTTCCTGTCCCCATACCACTTGTCCAGTTCCCTCCATTCCCAGCAGACTACTCAGTTCCTCCTGTTCCTTCATCCTAATGCACACTCCTCTGGACTGCTTACTTCAAGACTGGGAAGCATGGTTTCATGCCAGTTCCTAACCAGGAATCAGGTTGTTTCTGGCTTCTAATCAGGTTTACTCCTCCCAAGTCAACCTCTCTCAGGCTTCTACCCCAGCAGAAGCTTTTACTTTCTCCACTCCTGATAGCTGTTCACCCCTTTCACACTCAAACCCAGTGTATATTTACAACACTGGAAAAATACTTTAAACCTTGATCTGTGCATGTGTGTATATATCCCTGTATGACTGCAAAACAGTAAAGGGGAGGAAAGAGTCAAAATATCCTGTTACTTAAAGATACATATACCCACTGGCAGAGCATTTCTTAACTTCAACATAAAAATATCCATCCTGGTTCAGGAACGCTTCAGTTATTATTCATAGACTCACAGAAGTCAGGTCAGAAGGGACCTTGTAGATCTTCAAGTCTGACCCCCTGCCTGGGCAGGAGGAAAACTGGGCTCAAATGACCCCAGCCAGGTAGGCATCGAGCCGCTTCTTAAAGCCCCCCAGGGTAGGAGCCAGCACCACTTCCCTTGGAAGATGGTTCCAGATCCTAGCCCCCCTAACTGTGAAGTAGTTCCTATGGATGTCTAATCTGAACCTACTCTCCAACAACTTGTGGCCGTTATTCCTTGTTATCCCGGCGGGCGCTAGGGGAAACAAGGTCTCCCCCAAACCCTTCTGGTCCCCCCTAGTGAGTTTATAGATGGTCACCAGGTCCCCCCTCAGCCTTCTCTTATGAAGGCTGAACAGGTTCAGGTCCCGTAGCCTCTCATTGTAGGGTCTGACCTGCTGTCCCCAGATCATGTGGGTGGCCCTCCTCTGGACCCTCTCAATGTTGTCCACATCCCTCTTGAAGCAGGGTGCCCAGAACTGGACACAGTACTCCAGCTGTGGCCTGACCAGTGTCACGTAGAGGGGGAGGATCACCTCCTTGGCCCTACTTGAGATGCACCTGTGGATGTATGATAGGGTCCAGTTAGCCCTGCTGACCGTGACCTTGCATTGTCAAATCATGTTCATCTTGGGAGTCAATGATGAACATGAGATCCAAGATGACTCCAAGATCCCTTTCTGCCTCCATGCTCTCAGGAAGGGAGTTTCCCATCTTATAAGTGTGCTGCTGGTTACTAATGCCCAAGTGCAGCACCCTGCACTTGTCAGTACTGAAACACATCCTGTTTTTGTTAGCCCACCCTTGCAACCTATCCAGGTCTTTCTGCAGTCTTTCCCTCCCTACTAGCATGCCCACCTCACCCCAAATTTTGGTATCATCAGCAAATTTGAACAGGTTGCTTTTAACCCGTTGTCCAAATTGCTGATAAAGAAATTGAACTGTGCGGGCCCAAGGTCCGAGCCCTGGAGGACTCCGCTGCCCACTTCCCCCCAGGTCAAATATGACCCGTCCACCCCCCCCCTGAGTACGACCCTTCAGCCAATTTGCAATCCATCTGACTGTGTAGGCATCGATGCCACAGTCACCTAGTTTTTTAATGAGGATGGGGTGGGAGACAGTGTCAAAGGCCTTGCTGAAGTCCAGAAAGACTACATCCACGGCAACACCTGCATCCAATGCTTTTGTGACCTGATTGTAAAAGGCTAATTGCTTAAGCTTGTTTCAGTTTAGGGAAAAAAAACAAAGAGCACTTAACGAGAAATCTGTTTATTAAATAGTCCTCCTGTTAACTACTCCATCTTTGCTTCCTGAACACGTGTGGAAGGAATTCTACAGGCAGAGTGTTTGGGGGGTGATGGATGGTGAAGGGAAATGGAGAGTAAAGCTTTTATTTATGCTGAGTCAAGAAAGTAGTACAATTCAAAATACAGGTTCTGTAGGATGATGGTGTTTTATAATGGGGTGGGGGGAGAGGTTATCTTCTCCTGGGTGAGTAATTTTTACTTCCCTAATTTTGAATTCTTGTGAACATTTTCTTTGAAAGTACAGTACAATAGAGTTTGAAGATGATGATGTAAGAAAATGAGCAGCGGAAAGGCAGAATCAAAGCAAAACTATTTAAAATTTAAGTAAATAACAACCAGAGCCACAGCAGGAAGGAAAAACAGCAGAGTAATGGAGAGAGAACTTGCTACAAACATACAGACAAGATGCGTAGACTAAATTCTCAGTCAACAACATATCCCATTTGTGCATCTCTGTCAAGCTGCCCTCAGTTCTGGGTCTATACTCTTCCCTTCTGACCACCTGGCCAGAAACTGCTGGAGTGCTCTGCTGCTGAATCTTGGCTCTGAAACACGTCCTAGAGAACAACTACCAGCAGAAGCCCTGAAGGTGCTCTAACCTAACTACAGATACTGAAGTCACCCTTGACTGCCTCTAGGCTCAATGGAGAACAAAGGTATCAGCCCAAAAGATCAGGACCTACACATATTATATACAGACCAGCCACCTGGCTCTCTTCTGGATGAATCTTAGATCCCTAATACATGGCAGCTTCAAAAAAAAAAAAAAAAAAATCCTTGGGGATTTTAAAGCTCAAATGACCTCTGAACAACAAATGTATTATATACAGATAAGGGTTTAAAATCCTAACAGGAAGGGAAAATGCTTGCAGACTTGCTAGTTTTATGAATTCTGCAAACTTGTTAATGAAAATCACAAATGCCACCTCAGCCACCCACTTATATTCTTCAGACTGTTGTCCATATTCATTTGCTGCTTGCCATATGTCAGCAGCTGCGGGGATAGAAAAAGATCAGGAACAGCCCACCACAAGAAAACAATCAATTTTCTTTCCAGTCTGCAGACTTGATTCCTCTTTTAATGTTTTCATTAGTTCTTTATCCTGTTACATATTGTCTTCAGTGCTAATTCCCTTATTGTTTTGTGGCTCATTTTATTAAAAAAAAGTTTTGGAATTTGGAAACTAGGTTCACGAGAAGGCATGGGGACACATATGGGGACAGATAAAGCTGAACAGAAAGGTAATCAGAAACATGGAGTAAGGAAAAGAACTGCTGTGGGTTACATACATGTCTCTTGTGGTTGCCTCGCAAAAAGGAGCTGGGAACTCCATTCTTACACTCGGAGTCACTTTGTTCTTCATAGCTTTCAAACTCACTCGAACTCCATCCATAGTCTAGAGAGCTGTTTCCACCATCGTCACCATTCTCAACATCATCATAAATCATTTCCTCTACATGCATTTAACACCAAAATACAAAAGAATATACAATATTTTAATTACACTACTAATAAGTTCCTATTTAATTCCAAAGATCTTGTTCACTGCGTATTACAGACCAGAGCTAGTGCAATGTAGCAAGACCATTCACAGCTCTCAAGCAACCAGGCAGATCTTTCTCTGATGTGGCCAACTGTATGAAGCAGTATACCTAGCTAATACACTGGGCATAAATCTTGCCTCCTAAGGATGACCCTTTCAAAGAAGAGTATGCCACTACTTTGCTATCCTTCCTGGCTTGTTTGCAGGTGGTAAAACAGGATTTAACCCTATATGATTTATTTGAAATGCATTTAGTTAGGGGACAGACTTTATACATACAAGAGTCAAACTATCATTTTAAGCAATAAGAAGTAGCTAAAGTATAGTAGGGCCCATGCTCCAAAATGGTTATGTTATGATCTAATAATTTTCTTAATGACACTTGCACTCAATAATTAGATTCTGTCAAAAAAAATTCAAGTATCATCTGACATAAACTCAAGAGCTCACTAAGAGTAGTTAAGGACTCAGTAAGTACAATAAGAGCTCAAATCATTAACCCTTTTTCATGTCACTGTCCAAGTAACTCAAATCAAACCACTAGAGCTGAAAGCTAGGGCTGAATGAAAAGGTTTCCAAAATTGCTTATTGAAAAAGTTGTTATATATAATTGTGTGGGACACTTGGAGACACTTTAAGGGCATCTATACACGTGCTCCGGAGTGAAGGGGGGGTGCTTTAATTAGAGAGGCTCTGAGAGCCACTCTAATTAAAGTGCCCACAGCATCGTATGTATTCAGCATCCTGTGCTTCAAAATGGTGGCAAGGCCGCTTTAATTAAAGCTTGTTGGACAAGCTTCAGTTAAAGTGCCCCTGCCACCATTTTAAAACATGGGGATGCTGAATGCATGTGATGTGGAGGCTGCTGGAGCATGCTCATTAGCACACTCCAGCAGACTTGATTAATCAAGTTTTCTCCGTGTGCTAATTATCACGCTTTGGAGCAGAGGTCTGTCTAGTGTATAGGAGCCCTAAATGTCTGCATTCATTTCTGCCTGCTAGATTTCATTTCTACCTAGACTGGTGTTTTGGCTGACAAAAGCACCAGGTTTGACAAACTAATTCTAAATGAAATGAATATATTTTGTTGCCAAGCAATCAGCAGAGAGCAGGCAGATGTTTTCATGATTATAAATGACATCATTTATCCAATTACACTTCAGGTAGTGGTATATATGCTCTTCCCTTATAAATCTCTATTATCAGGACAATATAACTTTGCATTTAGAGCCGCTCTATAGTAATTCTCAACATACAAGACCTACCTTTTGGAAATTTTTTTTGTTTATGCGCAATTTTCTTTTATGCGCAATTTACATAAAAGAACACTACTTTTACTATATTTAAATTTTTAAAAATAATAGGAAAAAAAAACAGACTTTTAACCTTTCTGTATAGTCCAAAGTTTCTTTTATGTTAAAACTAAATCTGGACCAGTAATAATTTTGTAACATCAATATAACTGAAAAGCATTTATATTAACAAAAAGCAAACTCCTTTAAATACTGAAGCTTGTGTTCTGGTCTTTGCATTTATTTTTTAAATACCAAGCTTTTTTTTAAACACATTTCTCCATGACACTGTCCAGTAGGAATAAAAAAAAAAAAAAAAAAAAAAAAATCAAACATTGCAAAAATAAATGACAGCAGATCCCAAATCCTAAATCTAGATAGGGTCTGTGTATTAGAGTGAGGTTCTTTACACAAGCCACACATGAAACTCCCACTATGACTGAGAGAGCACTTATAAGAAGCATCTATGAGTTCCAGTTCTGCAATGACATCAGTACAAGTGGATCTTGGCTCTGAAGCTAAGTTCCAGTGAATTCAGTGGGTCTGCCTACCCACACATTAGCACAGAAGAGGCTTTTGCTTGTTAAATTCAGGAGGTATGCCTCAACCCTGAGCATATCTATAAATGCTCCTTGGTACTCTATAGGAAATGCAGACTAGCTCAGGATTTCCCAGTAAAGAAAACAATCAAGAAAGATGCAAGACATTGTTATCAAATGTCCTCAAAAAACATTAAGAATAAAGGCTTTGAAAGTATTTAAACATATTTAACATTAATAACATGCCTTCCTTAAAAATGCTTTCCTGAATCACAGTCAGAGTTGGAATCAATCCAGATAAAATACCCATAACATTTGAGAATCGGATGTAACAAAGAAGTTGGATGCTGATTTCATAGGAGCCAACTCATTCAGCAGCAGCAAAGTTCTAATCAAAATCTGATTTGTGGGTAACAATCAAAGACAGATCCAGAGAAGAAATTATATAAATGAGTTAATTCCTTTCTCTACCTCTTCACTATTCCAAGAGCTGACCCCCTCTGCCTCCCTCCCCCCATGCCTTTTAGTAAAAGTGTTAGGCTAGTCTAAAGCTAAAAAAACATTTCTATACTGTTACAGGTTGCAGTTGTATAAGAGGCAAAATGCGCATTAGCACGCAGAAAATGGCAGCGGTATGCTTTTGAACTGGAGCACCTCCAATGCATTTTAGTTCAAAAGCAAACTGCCACCATTTTCTCAGTGCTGATGTGCATTTTGCTGCTTATACAACCACAAGTGTCGCAGCGCCTGACACTTTCAAAGCACCTGGCGCTGCGGTGCTTGCATGTGTAAAAATGCCCAGTGACCACAGTGTGGGCTCTGAGACAGAACAGAATCACCTGGATATGCATGTAACATTGTGCAAGTCCAAAACTTTTGCCAGAGAAAAACCATAACTAGCAATGGAAGGGGAAGACAAAGGGATAGGGTTTTTGCACCATTTAGTCCAACAGCTTAGGTGTTAGGGCACTTATCTAGGCAATGGGACACACATGCTCCTACTCACCCATCCGGGGCTTAAACCTGCACCTCCTACTTCACTTGCTGTAACCACCAAGTCATGTGCTAATTATTACCCAAAGCCTTCTTCTTGAAAATGGCCAACCGGGGATCAAAGTGGCTAGATATGTGGGACTAGGAAGAGACAAGCAAGCTATAGGAAATATGTGGTTTGGTGAGATGGACTGTGTCATGTAAGGCATGGGCCCTGGGTTCTGAACGTGGATCCTACCCACTACTATTTATGAATTTTATCCAACAAATGCAAGGTGCAGAAAACACACTGGGAACAGAACCCAGGACACCCTCTCATTCAGGGCAGTGTCCATCCTATTCTGCCACAGGTGATTAGAATCTAAAAGCTCCCTAAGTACCACTTGTGTACATAAAAATCAAATAGTATTTAGCCCTGTGTTTCAAGATAAAAAACAGAATAGGCATTTAAATAGTATGCTTCAGGAGGTTAATAGTACCAAATTTTGTCTGACACTAACTTTGAATTGTCTACAATTTGTTGATTCGTGAAACCACTTTTACATTTGGGCTTCTTAACACATCACATAAAGCCCTATGATATCAGTGTCCAGGAAACACATCTTATGGTCATGGCCATGGTCGCTTCTTATAACTTAAAATAAAATCTGTGATTGTGTGAAATAATCTATAATTTAAATTACAAAAACCTCAAACCTGGTTCAGAGTCAGAATTTTCCCTTGGCACATCATCATAAATTACTTCCTCTGGATCTAAAAGCAAGAGAAGAACAAATATTTTTTCTTAGATTTGAACCAGACCAACAAAAAACTGCATTCTTATTGGAAAGTATGCATAATAGAGGCATAAACCATTTTCTGTTTACATACAAGTACCAACTGTTTACCATGCATGCATTCAATCTCATACAGCAGAACCCAGACTCTTTGCAGGGTTAGGTCTCTGATCCTGCTGTGAAGATGAGGGTTTCCAAAGTAACAGGAATATACAGAACTAAGGAACAAACAGCTGTGCGAGATAGCTGATGAACTCCAGCTGGTGGGAGAAGATAGGCCCTTTGAAATTATTCTTGATTTGCAACACGGTGCAAAATATTCAGGTTGCAAATCATCTAGCCGTGAACAATCTGGGTCCTACTTTATCACAAATAAAGTATCATAATACCATGGTTATGACTACTATCATTTAACAGCAGCAAGGAAAAGTTCATGTCACTGGCACATGAAAAACAATTTCAGTTAAGCTGCAAAATGAATTCTATTTCCTGTGCTCCTTTTTTGCTCTCTCTCTCTCATTGGGGACCACCACTCCCTTTCCAAAATTCCACCAGTCAAAATAAGGACATAAGAATTGTAAAGTTGAAAAACCAGTGTATTGTCCTGGAATAGGACATGGAGGAAGGAAAGAAAACTGGGTCCACACTTGGGCCAGGTACAGATATTCAGTTTCTACCAGAAGAATCCCCATTCTCCTGGTAGAAACCAAAAACATACAGACATTCAAGCTTTTTCTTTGAAGGGCAAAAATGATCCCACTAACAATAAAATAACCTGGGATCAACTATCCTATGGAAAAAATAATAGAGCAATTCTTCCTGAGCTGCAAACAACTTAGAAAAACCACAACAGGTCAACATATCTTTAACACTACTGGTTCCTATTTGGGTTTACAGGTTTCCCTCGATTTATGAGGGTTCTGTATATGCAAATTTGCTCTTATGTGATGACTTTTTTTTATACCCAAAATTCATTATGCGAGGTAAATTCACTCTTATGAGATTGGGATAGGCACACCCCCCCCTCCCCCAAGCAGGTAAGTCTGTGAGGGTAGGGGAAATGGCCCTAGGGCCAGGGCCCCACTCACCCCAGCCCCTGCTTTAGCTGTTCTGGGAGGAGCCAATGCCAGGTGCCTGCAGCGGCTGGCGTGAGTGGGGAGAAGCGGAGACCCAGGGCTGAAGCAGGGAGCAAAGCGGAGGAAACTGTAAGTGAGTGCAGGGCACAGAACAGGGAGGTGCGGCTCTTGCTGCTACGCGCACCCTGGGAGGGCTGCAGGCTGGGGGCAGCGCTGGGCTCTTCCTGGGGAGCACGTGACCCCAGGCTGCCACTGCAGGCTGGGGCTGGCAGTGACACTGGGTTCTTCTCAGTGCTTGGTGGCGCTGCAGGAAGGACAGGTTGTGGGGGCTATGGTGAATTTTGAGGTGGCTGCATCCCGCCTCCTAGTGCCACCACCCACCCCAAGCACCAGAAAGAACCTGGTACTGCTGCCAGCCCCAGCCTGCAGTGGCAGCCTGCTTTCATCCCGTGTGCAGATTCAGGAGCACGCGCCTCCTGTGAAGAGCCCAGAGCAGCCCCCCTGCCCACAATATTCCTGGGGTGCACATAGCAGCAACAGCTATGCCCCCCCACCACTCCGCCCCATACCCACTGACCGTTCCCTCCACTTTGCTCCTTGCTGCAGCCCCAGGAGCAGCCGATGGGCTGCACCACACTCTACCCCCCCACCCCAGCCTTACTCCCTCCCTCCCTCCCTGTCGTGGGGATGCATCCCTATTTCTTACATTATTAACTGGATTCCCTTTATGTGAATTTGATTTATGCACGGTTTTCCAGGAACACAAGTACCGCATAAATTAAGGGAAACCTGTATTTCACAAATCATGTTTGCATGCCTAACCCTGACAACATTGTTTTTTACACTTCAGCACCTTTGAAAGGATCTTGGGTAATTGTTCCAGTACCCTAGTGATTTAGATACTTGTCCACAAGGTAAGAGGCCTGAGAGGGTTATGGAGTTAGAGGGTTAAGGCACCATGGTTGAGAATCACTTCTCCAGACTTTCTTTCTTTCTGGTATGCAGGTGACTGAAGGTATTATCATGCTTTCTAAAGATGGTGTTATTTTTTGTTTTGTTTTTTATCATTGATTTTAATCCCTCAGGAGCCTGAAACTGAGGTCTATTTTCCTGGCCAAATATTTTCCCTTCTTTTCTGCGAGCCAGTTGGATTGTTCTCAAGTGCTAAGCTGCTGGCCACCATACTACAGTCTGGATTCAAGAACTCATAAAATGTTTTCAAGACACAGACAATTACTAAAATAAATTTAATGTTTCAGTTGGTAAACTAGGACATAAGTTAGGGCAGGGAAGTAAATTCCTTACTCCTGCCTACTTGCTAGGTAGGGAAACTGTTCAGCTAAACAAGATGATCTCTTTGTCCTGGCAAACCTAAGGAACACGCAGGCCCCTTCACTTTCCTCCTTTAAGCTGAGACTAATTCAGCAAAGCAAAGATCCTGCAGTAGCATGTGAGGGATCTGACTCAGCTCTCAGAGTTCTTTATTCATCTGCATTAAAAATGCAGTTGGCACATGTAGCAAACTGGTATGAGAAATGTAATATCAGTTTCAGCATTAACAATTACCCAAACAATGATGAAGTACCCCTTCTTAAACTAGAAAAAGGCTTCCATAATGTTCAGTTCAGGAAAATAACACGCTTCCAAGCAACAGAAAAAAAAACTGGGAACCTAAGCAAGCATTATATTTACTACACATTCAGCAGACGGGGTCAAATAATCCCCTCATATACTGATATACAATTCACTCACTTAACAGTAACCATGTGCATGTAGACTCTAACCTGATACTAAAAATCAACATATAAAATACAGTACTGCATACTTTTTTATCTTTATTATTTAGCTCTAGTGTTGGAAAAGTACAGGAAAGGATGAAGCAGAAAGAAAAAAAAAAGCTTTAAAGCTCACCTATTTCTACAGTGGTCATTTATTCTTCATTGATACTTACTTTCCATCCATGCTGTATTTGCAGGATCTGCAACCCATTTGGCTAGAGCATCATTATCTTTACTGACCTGGTTGTCTTCACTGGAAAAATTCCATAAAAATAAAAGAATTAAAAATATTACTATCAATAACATCAATAAATAATTTCTCTTACCTTTTAACTCTCACTCTGTAGTGAGAGTTAAGTGCTACGAAACTTATGTATTATCATCCTAATATGAAAAGTTATTTTTTAAAAATATTTTAAGTCTAATTATGGAATTTGAAATGAAACTTTAGCAACCCAATTTTAGTATAAAGAAATTGCTTATTATTCATTTTCTACAGAATTATTCTGCTTTGGCAATCTCCCACTGAGAGATGTGAAAATTAAACCACTCACTTTTGCAGATATCAAAAGGTCAATTGCCATCTTTATAAATACAAGATTTCAATCAGTGCTGATTCTGGTACAAAAACAGAAATGATTTTGTACCACAAAGTGCAGAGTTGGAGTTATTAACAAACAGCAATGCTAATTTACAACCAGGAAAATAAAAAATAAATGGAGTGGACACAAATCTCATCTTTCATTGAAGATTTACAGATTGCTAAATGCAGATCAACTCACAATTACCTATTTTGTGGATCTTCTGAGCTTAAAGAATTAAAATGGCAATCTTCAGCTGCTGTCTGCATACCTGCTACAAAAATCAGAAAAAAAATTACCAGAATGCTAGGATTGAAAGCCTTACTTTTACTTAAAATAATTAATATTACTAATATTACTAACAAATAATCTGCTCCATTATAAATGCCTCTTATCCAAAGATCTCAAAGTACTTTCCAAACCTCCTCAAAATAATTAAGCTTCTTGATACTATTATACCCATGTTGCTATAACAAGTTAAGGCACACAGGTCCAAGAAAAGCTGTTAAAAGAACCCTTAATACCAACATACTCTGCTATATTCCAGTATCTGTAATACACTGTAGCCACAGGCAACAAAGTATATTGCTTTTTACTTAAAGTCACTATTGGTGTTGCATTAAGTAGTTATTGTATAAAATTCATAAGCAGTAAAGGGAGAAGGGAGTAGGACTTTGTTTTCCCTCTTTCTCAAGGCAGTGTCCACTTCACTAGGCTACAGTCATGATCCCTCTTGCTTGCTCTCTTTGTAGACCAAAGACTCTTAACTTTTCTTCAATAGGAGGAATGAACTTCAGACTTGTTTAACCCCTACCTTAGTCATTAAGGCAGTTTCTTGGGAAGTGGCCAATGTGGGTTAAAATCCTCCTCTTTTTTTTTTTTGATGGGACCTAAACTGCAGGTTTCCTCCTTCCTTGGGAAGGATTCAGGATGAGGGTTTATGGTCAGTTTGGTATGGACTATGGGGGTTTTTGCCTTCCTCTGTAGCAGGAGATATGGCCCTCTACCCAGGACCTCTTTGAGAGTATTCTGTTTTATAGAAGCAGGTAATTGGCTGCTGTGGTTTCCCTGCTTTCCAGGTGGCAGATGAGGGGTTAGGGTCTATGTTGCATCAGGATGATGTTTAACACCGAAAAATGCAAGGTTCTCCACCTTGGGAGGAAAAACCTGCAGCATGCTTATAAGCTCGGCAGTGCTACGCTGGGTAGCACTACAGAGGAAAGAAGACTTGGGGGTCATAACTGACCACAAGATGAACATGAGCCTTCTATATGAAGCTGTAGCTAGTAAAGCAAGCAAAACGCTGGCTTGCATCCATAGATGCTTCCCAAGCAAATCCCAGGATGTCATTCTTCCATTGTACTCAGCCTTGGTGAGGCTGCAGCTGGAGTACTGCGTCCAATTTTGGGCTCCACAATTCAAAAAGGATGTGGAGAAGCTTGAGAGAGTGCAGAGGAGAGCCGCGCACATGATCAGAGGCCAGGAAAACAGACCTTATGAAGAGAGGCTGAGCGCCATGGGACTCTTCAGCCTGGAAAAGCGCAGGCTCAGGGGTGATCTGGTGGCCACCTATAAGTTTATCAGGGGTATTCACCAGGATCTGGGGGAACATCTGTTCACCAGAGCACCCCAAGGAATGACAAAATCGAACAGTCACAAACTCCTCCTCCTATGAAGGATTGACAGTAGTCCCATCTAGATTTTAGATTCTGGTTGTATGGGATGGTTTAGATATGGATGAACCTGCCTCAGACAGGGGTTGGACTAAATGACCTCTGGAGGTTCTTTCCAGCCCTACTTCTCTATGACTCTATAACCCTCTCAGGCCTCCTACCTTGTGGACAAGTATCTAAATCACTAGGTTATTGGGAAAAAGGCAAGTCCTGCTCTCTTCCCGAACCGAACAGGAACCCTGATAATCTTGGGGTATACTGTGCAGGCTCTAAGTAGGTTACTTCTGAATGTGTAGTAAGTAAATTAGAATAGGATCTTGATGAGTTCTCATGATGAGTGTCACCATATGATTTATTTAGAGAGGGTCATTATTAGCATCCTTTTCTACATACTGGTGGTGGCAGGTATTGGCTGTTGGAGTATGTGGCAAAGAAACCATTGGTTTATAACAAAAATAGGAAAGAAGTTGATTTTATAAGGTAGTTGGGTTTTGGGGTCTAGAAGGGTGGGGAGGGTGGGGGTTACATACATTTTCTTGTTTGTTTACAGTGTATTGATTCTCCTTCACTAGTTTTCTTAGATGAGATAGTCCTAATAATACAGACTTCTTTATGAATAATCTCATTCCATAAATTCTTTTAAGGTGTCTTCGAGGAGCCACATACTTTGGGACATACTCCCCATGGATTTCAGGTAAGGATGCATGCATCCATCTGTAGAAAAATATAGCTCACTAAAATTAAACTAGGATTCAACTTGATAGAAAGTAAATTCAAGAGATCTGGTACCTTCTTCATCCACAGAAACACTGCGTATTATAACAGGACTGGAGTATGCTGGTAGTATCAATGGTAAATTGGATGGTACAGCATAGCCACAAGGCACAGGAACAGAATATCCACCTGACATGTTAGTGCTTGTACTTTCATCTTGAGGACTGGGTTCTGGTGATGAAGACTGATCCTTTTCTTGGATTGGTGAAATATTTATGACAGAGTAAGGGTTTACTTTTGTTGGGGCACCCTGTGTCCTGGATTCTGACATTTGCACTTTCTCAGTTTTAACTACATTTTCATCCCCTAAGAGGAAAAAAAAAGCAACTTAATTTTCATTTGTCATAATTAATTGTTTGTGACCATAATGATATTGCATAAAACAAATATATCTTAGGCATTTACATGGACTCCACTAACATAGTCTCCAAGTGCCTCACAATCTTATATATTTCACCTTACAACACCCTGGTGAGACAGAGCACTGCTGTTATTTCCATGTTACAGCGAGAGATTGAAACACAGAAAGAGATGGACAGAGAGACAGATAGTAAGCAATTAAGTATAGGTCTATGCTGTCAGACAAACTCCCAGACTAGTTCCAAAGCCCCTCTCTCATGGACTGGAAGCAGTTTAATTGCGACAGCACAAGAGTTCAACACAGACTTATTTACCTTGCAATATAGTACAGACATGCCCTAGGTCATACAGGAAGTATCTGGCAAACAGGGAATTGTACCCAAGTGCCTTGACTTCTATAGTGATGCTGTAACCACTAAACTCCATTTCAACACATTTTACGATACACAGGGAGCAATTAAAAATAGTAAAAAAAAAGAGGAGACTGTTCACTGAAAAGGGAAAAAATCTTCCTTAAATTGTTGTCATGAGAAAGGAGTAGGCAGGTTTCCTTTCTGCATAATGAGCAGTGATTTAGCTCCAGGCTCCCTCATATCTCAAGACACAAGCATGTGTAGGGGATCCATAAGCAGGAATGAAGCACAGGACTCCACTAAAACAAGCTGCTGGACCTCATGAGTAAGGAATTTTCCAGGGAAAGGAAGACATTAGGTTCCAGTTTGCCGAAGCATATTGTTAACAGCAGAGATCATCTGACTCTAATTTAGACATTAGTACAATTATTCAAGATAGGAATAGGAAACAGGATTAGGATCAACACACAAGACTGTAGTGGGAGCTGGGAAGAACATAGTATTTTTCAGAATGTCTGAGCATGGGGCAGTCTTACAGAAACAGACAGTTCAGCGGTTCCTTACATATCAATGAAGTAAGCTTTCTTTTAGTATACAAAACAAGTATGCTGTCTTTAATTTTAACAGTTCATCCTTTTAAATCCACCGATCAGGATGCCCAAGCTATGTATGAAAGAAGCCGTGGCTTCCAAATAGCCACTATGCGTGTGTTCAGATGAGTGCACGCATGCTGCTTCTACTTGTCACTGCTTTGGAACTCACAGTTCCAGAACTGAGCTCAGAAGCACAGTCCGGTGGGTGGCGAATTGGCTAGAGGGTCGCACTCAGAGAGTCGTGGTGGATGGGTCGGTTTCGACCTGGAAGGGTGTGGGCAGTGGGGTCCCGCAGGGCTCGGTCCTTGGACCGATACTCTTCAATGTCTTCATCAGTGACTTGGAGGAGGGAGTGAAGTGTATTCTGTCCAAGTTTGCAGATGACACAAAACTGTGGGGAGAAGTGGACACGCTGGAGGGCAGGGAACAGCTGCAAGCAGACCTGGATAGGTTGGACAAGTGGGCAGAAAACAACAGAATGCAATTCAACAAGGAGAAATGCAAAGTGCTGCACCTAGGGAGGAAAAATGTCCAGCATACCTACTGCCTAGGAAATGACCTGCTGGGTGGCACGGAAGCGGAAAGGGATCTTGGAGTCCTAGTGGACTCCAAGATGAACATGAGTCGGCAGTGTGGCGAAGCCATCAGAAAAGCTAATGGCACTTTATCGTGCATCAGCAGATGCATGACAAATAGATCCAAAGAGGTGATACTTCCCCTCTATCAGGCGCTGGTCAGACCGCAGCTGGAGTACTGCATGCAATTCTGGGCACCGCACTTCAAGAGGGATGCGGATAACCTGGAGAGGGTCCAGAGAAGGGCCACTCATATGGTTAAGGGCTTGCAGACCAAGCCCTACGACGAGAGACTAGAGAAACTGGACCTTTTCAGCCTCCGCAAGAGAAGGTTGAGAGACGACCTTGTGGCTGCCTATAAGTTCATCACAGGGGCACAGAAGGGAATTGGTGAGGCTTTATTCACCAAGGCGCCCCCGGGGGTTACAAGAAATAATGGCCACAAGCTAGCAGAGAGCAGATTTAGACTTCCTGCCTATGCAGGGGGTTGGACTCGATGATCTATTGAGGTCCCTTCCGACCCTAACATCTATGAATCTATGAGCTGCAGAGATGACCTGAGCAATGCCCAGGCTTGAGCGGTACAGATGTGAGCAACCTTCACAGGCCTGAGGGCCTCCCAGGTCTCCAGCAGCGGTGATCCGTGCGCACAGAGGCTGCCCAGCAGCTGGAGCATGACTTTGGCTGGCCAGGCTCTGGTTTTGGGCAATGCACATTGCTGCCACACATGGTGCCCTGCTTTTTTGCCACAGGTTTTTTAACACCAGGTTCTACCTTGACAAATGATTGTCAGAAAAACCTATTGCACTGCAAATTATCAGCATGGCTAGTTCCTGCACGTTCAGTTTCTGTGGTTTGTGGCACCGTAGACAAGTCTGCAGCACCACAAACCACACATGCACACTCATTTGGATATGCCCTATAGGCCCATCTGTGTATACACAGTTACAAATCTGATGTTACAGGAGCCATGTCCTGTAACAACAGATCCCTCCAAGATGCATAGCGAGGAGGTCAATTCTCTGGTTCAAATGTAACAAACAGATAAGAATCCTGTCAGAGACCATAAACCTGTTAACCTTGTTAAACAGACCAGAAATGAAAGACCCCTGAGATGAATTAAATCAACTGCATATTCTTCCTATGGAAATCTTTTTTGTAACTTCAATTAATCATGTCACCATAAAATTCAAGGGGCTTGATCCTTGCCTAAACAGTATTGCCATGGCCTACTGGCTATAAGAAGACTTACCTGTGGAGCTAGTCTCTTCATGTTCTATATTACACCTAGAGTCAGAACTGCGTGGCATGAGGGCTTGTCTGTCTGCTTCCGGTATCTCATCTCCGCTATCCAAATAGAATGGCTCCCCTTCTTCCTCGTCTTCATTTGTACCACTGACTTCTAATTCATTTTCTAGAACTGAGAGAAACATTATTTTTTACCTTTTACTATCAACTGATTGAGATGGGTAAATATTCATTGTTGTGAATGAGGTTTGCAATACAACACCCTCAAATATGCCATACATGATCCTAGAGTGTTCAGGATTAAAAAAGAAGACCATTGACTATAAGGATCATGCAGTTATTTGGAAACCTCTTAAAATAGATGCTGCTCTATAATTACATGGCTAATACAAATTGTTTATCTTTGCATCCATGATGAGCTTAAACATACTTTATCAGCTTCTTCTGAAAACTTTAGAAAAGTTAATTATGAATTCACATCTGAAGCTGTAAATTGTACTTTAATCCTTTTTTTTTTTAAATTGTGTGTCCCCCCCCACACACAAATTTTAAACAAACATGGGAAAAGAAAAAGTGAGAAACCCTGGCCCCACTGAAATTAGTGACAAGTCCATATTTCTCTACCAACATATTTTAACTGAACTGGAACAATCACCACTGAGGATAAGACCATGATTCAAGGTCTCTGTCCATTCAATCTTTGGTTCCATCAATTAGTGCCAGGATAACAGTGGATGGCCTTCACGTAGTCCATCAACATGGGCAGAACTAAGATTTGAAAAAGGCACGGAGGCGATGCAATTTGTGAATCTACAACCCCCCTGGACACTTTTGTGAGACCCACAAAGCAGGTAAGACTTGGGGTAGGGGAGGGGCACTGACCTTGATTAACTAGAGCAGTGGTTCCCAGCCTTTTTAGCCCGCAGACCAGCAAACTGCAGACTGGAAGTGACTGGCATACTGCAGACCAGCAGCCAACCCTTTTTTATACTAATATAAAGTTTTAACAGTTCACCCTTTTAAATCCACTAAGCATAAAAAAGGGTTGGTTTCTGGTCCGCAGTATGCCAGTCACTTCCAGACTTCTGGTCCAGTTGCCCTGTGGGGTCAGGCCAACTCTCAGGATCTCAAAAGTGTGCTGTTAGACCGGAGGGTGTGACACAATTGCACATATACAAACACACAAATCAATTAAGTGCATACACACACACACTACCAACTCAGGCACATACACATCCAAACCAATCTAAGCACATGCATACTTATCACCAATTCAAGCACATACACTATACACTCCAGAAGTTAGACAAAAATCAGTTGTCCATACCCACACACTCAGTACAAATACACAGATAACTATTTGTATATCTTGCACACAATGAGATTTTTTATTAACACATATACAACCCACCTACGCATACACACAAGTAAGTTCCTAACTTGGATGGTACAGTATGTATGTGTATGCTTGGGGTTCCTGGGATACTTGGGGGAAGGTTAAGGTGAGAGAGAGTTAAAGTGTAGCGAATGAAAGTTGCTAGAATCAGGATTAGAACTGGTGGACTAGAGAGAAGCTAGCTGAGGAACTGAGGCTTGGGTTTACTTAAGATCAAGTGGCCCCGGGGTTACTTGGGATCACTTGGTGTCAGGATGGAAGCAAGGGAAAAAGAAGACCAGTGGCAAGGAGGAAACAGCCAGGAGACAGAGGCAAGAGGCAGTGGGGATGAGACAGAAACAGTGGCAGAGATCAGGGAAAAAGGCAGTGGGGATGAGACAGAAGTTAGAGCAGCAGAGATTGGAGCAGGGCCAGAACTGTAGTAAAGCAAACCCAACTCAGGGGTCCAAATAACAGTTTTATTAAACAGACAATATACTACACAGCCCCATGAAGTTATTGGCTCCCACACACACACACAAGCACTCACAATGGCAGCAGGAGAAAGACTCAGTGGAAGGGTTGGATTTCAAGTAGGGAAGAGAACCAGAGTCCAAGTCCTTGGTTGAAGAGAGGGTAGGGGGTGATAGCTACCTATCCAGGCTGGAAAGGGGTCCTTGTCCAGCAGGTGTTGTCCAGAGGGGGGTCGCCCGCAGGACCTCTGGGTGGATAAGTGGTGTGGCATGGTGCTGGTCCAGCTAGAGAGGGCGTCCCCCAAGGAGTCAGTCTTCACTAACCCTTTTTATGGGGCACACTACCTCTGATCTCCTATGGGAGGGCCTGTCCAGGCAATGCCAGTCCTGTTCCAGAGGGCTCCAAGTGTTCTTACTGAGCATGTGCAGCCTTGGCACAATGGTGGGTTGCCTCATCTTTTGTTTCTTGAATGCTGAGGGTGGTTCCAAGGGCTGGGTCGTTGGTTCAGTCATTCAGAAGGAGTTATTTTTAGACCTACTGCCATTGTCTCTCAAGCATCCTCATTCATCCCCATTCATTCAAGAACCAAGTTACACAGGAGGGGTAGTATGAATCATAGGTTACACAACCGGGCATGGGGATAAGATGTGGGCTTGACATTACAAGATGGAAACATGACATGACTTATGCTAACTTACAATAGGCCTAAAACAGTACTCACACATTATAAAAGCAGTACAAACATAATAATTATCACTTATAAAACAGTGGATATCTATATCAAAATAGCAAGGCACTTATTTGCAAAGAGGGGAGAGAAAAATAAAACTTACTACCAAAAATAAAATGTTAAAGCTTATCCTACATCTTAGCTTACTTATACTTCTCTATAGGGAATAGGGAGGGAAAGAAAAAGTCATAAATGGTTGGGGAAGGGGAGGGAATGCATTTTAAAAGAAAAAAAAAAAAAGAAAAACTGAGGGTTTTGCTACAGTCCGGCAGCCAACCCTTTGCAGACCAGTACTAGGCCACGGCCCAGGGGTTGAGAACCTCTGACCTAGGGAAAGCAGAGATGATGGGCATCCTCCCACATTCCTCACCTGCTCCCTGCTTTGTCTCTCCAGGATGTCTTCCATCAGACTGTGGCTCCAGCCACATCTTGGTCTCCACAAGGGAACCTGCCATCTACAGCCAGACAGGACTGGAGGTACTGACATGAGCTACACTATGGAAGGGGGATGAGATCATGACAGTACATTCTCCTGGATCCATCTCTGGCCATCAAAAATCTAACCAACATACTGGGCTATGCTTTGTACCACCCTGAGCCAGTTTTGACTAAGTGAACTAGTGTGAACTGCTCTACACATACCCGTTCCTTCCTGGTTATCTAGCACCTCCTTTTTCAATCCCCCAGGTCTTCAAAAAAAGGTCAGATAAGTTAATTTCTCCTTTGCAATCAGAAGTGGAGAGTTATTTTCTTTAGTCTATAACAGGGATGTAAAACTCATCTAGCCCCACTGGCCAGAAGTTGTGTGGCATTCTCTATAAGGTTGGAGACATGGTGCATGAATTGCTCTGAATATTAATTTTCAGGGCTGCTGCTCATCCCAACACCACAGTTCCAGCTCTGTGGACCAGATGGCATGGCTCAACAAGCTATATCCAACTCAAAGGCTATATCTTTGAAACCCAGTTCTATAAACGGCAGACAAAGATGACGTTAGTACATGCTAAGCAAATTTATAGATGGCACCAAGTTGGGTGGAATTATGGACACTCTGGAGCATAGGGATAAGATCTAGAACAACCTGGATAAACTGAAGAAATGGTCTGGAATCAATGAGTTGAGATTCAAAAAGGACAAATACAAAGCCTTGCCCTTGGAACACCCACGTGCACAAATAGGCTAAGAACAGACAGTCAAAAAGCCCAAGGCTGAAGTGATTCAATCTTCACAGGTTAGTCTATGCTGCATAGATTGAAACAACAAGCAAGTGAACAGACATTCACTTTTGGATCATGCCAATAGCAACCTTAGTTTCTGCTTGTGGGAGAATGGACCTCATGAGTAGAGCAGCAACAAATTTGATGACTCCCTCCTCTGATCCTCGCTGCTCTCCACCCTGAATTTCCTCCTGGGCTTTTCTACAGCAACAGGATTGTACAACCTAAAATATAATGTTTTAAATATACACTTTAATATATTACTGAAAAATAGAAGTAATTTGCCAGTTTTTCCATCAGGTAACACGAGGTAAAAACAAACCCCTGCAGGATGTATTAACTGTCCTGAATTGCAATGATTTTATCAGCTTTTCCACCAGCAAGGACATGTTTTGTATCCTTATGATAAAACCCACACAATTCACAGCTCCTGACTGTTTAGATTGTCATGGTAATACGCATTCTTGCCAGGGCTTCTGTTTCTTCACGCAGGCTGAGCCAGCATATTTTATTACAGACACAATAACAAGACCTTTCATGCAGTCTTTCTGTAGGGGGAGGGGGAGGTGTGGAAAAAATTGGCTAATTTTTTTTAAGGAACAAAAATACATTAGTTGTTCATTTACTATCATAGCTGATGGTTAAAAAGTCTGCAGGACACTTAATTTTAAGGCAGCTTTCCTCTGTGTATCTATTACTGTACAAAAAATTACGTTTTGGGCTGAAAGTTCTCTTTTTTGGCATTGTCTTTAAGTGATTATTTTATTTATGAATGTATGTATGTATGTATTTGGAAAGCTGCTCAAATTCATTGGTGTTAGTGGAAAGCTGCCCCTAATTCACTGGGCACTTGATCAGGCTTTAGGTCAGGGGTCAGCAATGTTTTTGGACAGAGTGCCAAAAACTTCCACAACCTTGACTTGTAAGATGTTGGCATGCCAGGGGTGGACAGTGGGGGACCTGTGAGAGGCCCAATCCTTGTTGTAGCAGCACAACCCCAGCCCCTTTCCTGAAGCACAAAGTGCCAGGCAAAATGCCTTTATGTTCCATGCTCTGGCACATGCCAAGGAGTGACTTTTGGGGGTTTTTTTAAACAGTTGATGTAGGTAGGTAGAACTATTTTGTCTGAATGGAGTATGAAAAAGCATTCTCCTTTCTGTTGGAAAACTCATGTCTCAATACCTGTGCAAAGGCTAAATAAAACTTTATTTGCGTGATCATCAGTGTGAAAGGGAGACTGGCGTGTGGATAAGTGCCCCAAATAACATTATGGGGACACCAGAATACACAGAATATTTCCATCCTAATATAGGCACTTTTAAAAAACTGATATTATGATAATTTAACATGGCCCCAAAGCCCAGGGGGTGAACACTGTTGCTATTTGCCTTCTCCCACTCCTTTGAATTCAGCAGCAGGGGTAAGGAGGGGATCAGCAGCAGTGACAGGCTGTATTTGCCCCCTGGGTTCTTGAGCTACACAAAAATAAGAGCTCTGGCCAAGAACTCATACATAACACAGCCAAAGGGAGGAGCAACTGTACTGCCAAACCCCCTCTGAACCCACTACTCTCCTTAAGAAAAACTGATACCTAGATTTTTACCATACAACGCTGTCATATTTGTTCCATTCCTCCATATGAAGATGAACTTATTTGATCCTAAATTTAATGTTCCCTTAAGTCTAATAGCTAACACAAATGTTTCTTTTCAGAGTCATTTAATCCTTACGGAACATTATTTTATTTGATGGATACATATTTTTATGTTTATGCAGAAATTTAACTGAATGTCAAATGAAAAAAATAACATAAAATGTATTTTTATGAGAATACTATAAGATTCATCCAACAGAACTTGAAGGCCCATAGATTACATAGAAAACACATCTAAATTGTGTTTTTGTAAGTATGACAATATATATTCTTATAATTGTTTTAAAAAGTTTTAAATGGTGTACTTTCATGTGTTAACACCACATTACCTAACCAGAAACACTTAAGGGAAATAATCCTTTTATTTGCAAGATTTATCCAAACAAGTAAAGATATTCATCATTTACCCCATTCAGAGAAAAATAACAGCCTTATAGTTAATGCGCTAGACTGGGACTCAGAAGATTTAGGCTTGATCACAGTCTCTACCTATATGACCTTGGACAAAATCACTTGCATTTGATTTTAATACACAGAAGAAATGGAATAACAAACCAAGACGGCACCCAGCACAAAGCCTACAGGAGAGTGGGAGTGCAGGCTCTGAGAGCAGGAGGGGAGGGGAGGGGAGGGGGGCAGCAGCCTTACTCACACCAGGAACTTCTGAACAGTCCAGACTGAGCAGCTGCCAGCCCATGTGCTCTACTAACTCCCACTCTGTTGCACTTAAAGAAATAGCAGCCGGGAACTGTTTTAGAGTTCCCAGCATGGCAATGCAGCCAGGGTGCAGACTTCGTAGGAGTGCGCTGTGATTCCAGTGCCCCTGACTTGATGCTAGGGGTGGATACCACCCTCTCCCACACTGAGTTATGCTGCTAGATGCAAGGAAAATCAGGAGGATCAAAATATATTAATGCATAAAGGAGTATCAGTGGGCAGAAAAACAGACTGCAAGAAGAAGGCAAACGGTAAAACTGACAACAGGAAGTTTCAAATAGTCCACACAGTTAGTGTAGGATTATGCCTAATCCAGCTCACGTATGCAATCGGAAAAAGAGAACTCAAATATTTGCAAATAAATGCCCCAAACCTTGAAAACAAAATGGAGGAACTTAAATTAGTGGTGCAGGACACCATATTTCTATTATCCTTGTATAACATTACAAGGATAATAGAAATATGGTAAAATAGCAATCCTGACCAGAATGCAAGTATTGAAGGATATGCCGAAGTGGCAAAATTGCTTTACTAATTGGAATGAGTAGCGCTGGAGGGCTACAACTGCTCCCAGGATCTGATTTAGATATGGACAAAAATCTCTGTAATGTTATTAGGCAAATGAATGCCACCATAAATTGTATCATATTGGAAGATTTTAACTTCCCTGATATAAAATCAGAGCCGAAGTATTTCATAGATATCATATTTCAAATAAATATCTTCAGTACAAAGTTACTAAACAAATGAAGAGGTGGTATTATTTTAGAGGTTGTTTTAGCACATCACAACATTATAGAAAAGCTGGTCATAGAAAACAGCCTTGGATTATGTGATCATGACTTTGATAAAGTTTAAATTACATTGAAGTGTAAACTGCAACTAAGGTACTTAATTTTGAAAGAGTGAACCTATATAAACTAAGGGAATGGGCTGGTACAGTCATCTGGACTCAGAAACTCGGGGATTTGAAATGCAGTATGCCAGAAAATTATAAAGCAAAATATGCTATAGCCATGAGAAATCAAGCATCTGGAGGAGGAAAGGCTGATCACATTGTCAGAACCCATTGTTCATATGCCTATAGTACAGTGGAAGATTCCATAGTTTGATACAGAAGGCAGTCTGTCAATCATTTTGTAAGTAGGTCATATAATGACCTAGAAAAAGTTGCCGCCAATTTGTAGCTTTCTTTGCAGTGTGCATTTCTTCTTTGCAGCACAGAAATGCACGGTGCAAAGGAGTTCCTGCCAATCTTATGCAAATTTGTACCCCACTATTGGACTCTTCTAAATTATTCCTACCTGGCAGCTAGTGATTGGCTTGCTAGCCGTATAAAAGGCTTGAGCAGTTTCCGCCCAAGTTGAAGAACTCCACACACACACCTCGTGGAGAACTCTGAGTACACTGTGGAGCCTAGCAAACTCCACGCGTGTTTCAGAGCGAACTTAGCGGCCTGATCAACCACTAAGGACTCCCCGTCACCGACCCAAAGGGGCCTAGCACACCCCCACCCGAGACATAAGACGACTTTCGGCCCGAACACCCTGAACACATCTGCAGACCGACCAACATCTTTGTAATTTCTGCCCAACCCAAGTTTGTAACCGTAACCGAAGCAAGCATCTGACCTGCACTGTACGAGCAGTGTAAGTAAACAACCTTTTGTTTAACCAAAACGCTTGAGTACCTGATTCCACTCCAAGCGTCACAAGTACCCGCCCGCCTATTAGGGCTCCTAAAGCCCCGAACCCCGCGCCGCGGCTCTCGGCAGCGACACACATGTGGTCAGCACGGATTTATGAAAAACAAATTGTCAAGGTCCCAATTCAGGATGGCCCTTAAGCTTAGCTCTAAGATGTTAAATGTGCTATTGAAGCCAAGAGGTTGAATATAAGGATGACTTCCTTTACCCAAACTATCTTAACTAGGCTTTGATTTGAAGTAGGTGTTAGCAAATCTTGTCTGTGAGCTGACTGTACCAGGCAGTGCCAGGCTGAAACACATGGCATTGTTTCATGTCTGCTACCCACTGAACCACAAGTAGATGAGCTACTTTTGTGCAGGGCTGTGCATGAGACAAAAGGGATTAGAATAACCCAGGTTCAAACAAATATACCACTCCTTTGGTTTTAAAGTCTAACTAAGGCCATCCACCCCGTCAGTGACACAACTTTCACTTTCTTGACTCCTGTCTTCATATGGAGCGAATCCAGGCAGATTTGGATAGACTGGGGAAGTGGGCAGATCAGAATAGGATGCAGTTTAACAAGGATAAGTGCAAGGTGCTGCACCTGGGAAGAAAGACTCTCCTATACACTGAGAAGTACCATTCTGAGTACCACAGCAGTGGAAAGGGATCTCGGAGTCGTAGTCGACACAAAAATGAACACGAGTCACCAATGTGATGAGGTAATAAGTAAGGCTAACCACACTTTCTTGTATTAGTAGGTGCATCATGAGCAGGTCTAGGGAGGTGATACTTCTGGGCCTGCGGGTAAGATCCTATGAAGACAGACTAAGGAACCTGAATCTCTTCAGCCTCAAGAGAAGGCTGAGAAGTGATCTTGTGGCTGTCTACAAACTCATCATGGGGAGTCAGCAGGGAATAGGTGATACTCTGTTTATTAGGGCACCCCTCAGGGTTACTAGAAATAATGGCCACAAACTAAAAGAGCAGATTTAGATTGGATATCAGGAAGAAATTCTTTACGGTGAGGGTTGCCAAAATATGGAGTGGACTTCCAAGGGAGGTAGTGCTTTCCCCTACCTTGGAGGTGTTCAAGAAAAGATCAGACAGGTACCTAGCTGGGGTTATTTAACCCCGGTACTCATTCCTGCCTACAGCAGGGG